GTGGTTTTCAGATAGCTTGGAAGAGGCTATTCTCGTACCGGATTGGCTGAGTCGTGAATTCGAGTATCGTATAGGGACATCGTAGGGGCAGGACCCACAAGAGTGGAGGTACGGTTCGTCTACATGTGATCTATGTTGTCTCGGGTCTTCATCATTTTTTCTCGTAGAAGATTAGAAAAATAATGCCAGAATTCTTGAGCCTATAACAAATATCAGAAACATGGTGTCCCGCAGATACGAAAAGGTACGGGGGGTTGGTTTTTCCACCATTCGACCCCCCCCAGAAATGTGCTGCAGCACCTCAGACCAATATACCATTGCCTCAGACCTGTAGATCCTGGATTATCAACAGCGGTCTGCTGCAGCCGCACACTCCGCTTGGGTGTATGGAAAGATTCATTCCATCTGCTAGCGGTTCGTCTGCTGCCGGCTTGAAGCCACGCGGCCAACCGATGTGTCAGTTCAAATCTGCACTGGTGTCACGGTTCATCAGTGTCCTTCTTGCGGGCGACCCATGCACGCGTTTTGTGGTCGGGGCATCGGAGAGGAAGGCCACGGACAGCAGAGAGAGTACTCGGATTGCCAGAAAGAAGAGCAAAGCACTTTTTTTACTGCCAACGTTCGTTGTTTGCCTTGGGTGAAGTCTCGTGAGGTTGAATTTGGCGTTTGTGCTGTGCCTCGTTTTGACCTTTTGGGAGGCGCGGTGTCCTCGGTGTCGCTGTGCTTTTCCGACATTTTTGGTCTCTGTGTTTCTTCTGCATAATAACCTACATTTTCCTAGTGTCGTTTTTTACAACCTTCTTCGATATTTCTCAGGTGCGGCAGCGAGATCTTGGGCAAGATATTCACGGGGGGGACAACGCCTAAAAAATATAAAGCAAATAATTAAGCCCATATCAACACCAGCGCACTACCGTCGTGTACATGTACGATGCGTAGGTCGTAGAACACCATCGCTTTCAGCGTTTTGGTGGTACAGTACGGGGAAATTCAAACGATGGTATGCAAGTATGTGCATGTATTGCAGCACAATAGCAGCAGCAGTGGTTGCGACCTTCAAATCACCTTGTGTCGTAGGTTTCAAACAACACCTCTTGTGGTCGCCTTTCTGCTGCGAATGCACACCTTTATGTATTGTAGCACAATAATAGCAGCAGTGGTTGCGACCTTCAAATCACCTTGTGTCGTAGGTTTCAAACAACACCTCTTGTGGTCGCCTTTCTGCTGCGAATGCGCACCTTTTGACATATATGTTTCGCCTTCATTGGCCCCGGGGATGGTGCGGTTGTGGCCCCGGAATTGTAAAGACACTTTCCCGCGTTAAAGACACTTTTTTGGGGGGAAAACAAACGTGGTGTGTCTTTAAAGCGGGGTCGACTGTGATCAAAGACGTGGACGTTCGCGCGTCGGCGTGTTCGCCTGTCGCGTTTGGTGCCCAGGGCCAGCGTCTACACCACACCCAGATCAGGTTGTTCAAGTTTCATGTGGACAACAATATCAGGGCAGAGTTAGACTATATCCCGACGTAAACACGACGAATGAGTGGCTCAAGAAAGACACTCCATGATCTCGGCAATATCCCGGCTTGCTCCATCTGGTTTGTTTCATGACGAGCAGGTTGCCACTCGCCTTCAACTCTCTCCGACGGAAGTTCGTCAGTTCCTTATGTAGATGTCACGTGCGAGCACGACCGCGCAAGTCATTTGTTTGCCCCCCTCCTAGAACCGACCCGGGCCCACCTTTTTGCTGAACCAACGATTTGACACAAAATCTAGTATAGGAGAACACCCGCTTCGAATATGAGCACGCATAGTGGCATATACTCCCAAGTTTGTTGACTGCGGAGCTGAAGGTTCTTCCACGAAAATCTCTTGAACCAGACCAGTTGAAATTTTCACATTTGAACGTGGGCGAATACCCGAGGGGAGTGCGAGAGAAAGAAATTTCAACAGCCGGCGAAGAGTCGATGAACGGTGACAATGCGCACTGCTGCTGTGGTAATTTACCTCCTCCCCGCTAAGGCATGCAAAACATCAGAGTACGCCCCCTCCCCCCGGTGATTGCCATCGGGGTTGGGTTTTCGTCGCTTGGCAACGACCTTGTAAAACAAGCCAGAACTCGGCAACCAGGTACCGTTGTTGTTTTTTACATCTGTTTTTTTGGCGGTAACATGATGGTGGTCGAGTAGATCATGTTGTGCGGGGTGGACAATCCTCACTCCGCGCAAGGGGGGTGGTCGCACCACGTTGTGTTAAAATGGTCCAGCATCCTCGAGGCAGTTACACAGTGATTACAACTGTCTCTGGAAGTGAAAGCACCAGAAGTTAAATTAAGTCATACGCAGCTGTCATCCGTACGCAAGGAAGTAAGCACAAGATGCCGAACACCCTTAGCAGCATGCCGCGCACCCTTCATGCGACTCGCCGAATACCTCACGGCGTTTCGCGCTTGGTGATATAAGAACCTGGTCCGGTGAGAACCCGGCGTGCTCCGTCCCGGCTTTGTAGGGATGCGAGGTCAATGGTCTAACGACTACGGCATGCACGACCATGAGTACACCCCCCCTGCACATGTTTCGCGTGCGTCATGTCAGCACAAAAACTTTGGCAAACATTGCTTCTGCGAAGTTTGGCGCAGATCTCCATCCCCCGCCGCCAAGACGACGGAGTCAATTCTGGAAGGCTGTTTCGAAGGGCAGCCAACAAAAAACACGCCTTCAAAACCATCCACAAGCGTCACCGCACACTGATTTCCATCAACCCACCTAACACCTTCAACACTCCCGGTGAAATGTCCAACATGCGTCGGATCGATACACACACACACCAGATCCCCTTCCCCCAACTTCCAACAAACGCTCCCGAGTTCTTTCCAACTACTGCGGCTCGCAGCATTAATCAAAACCTTCACAACCTAGCCCTCCCGCAACCGCCAAAATTTCGCTTCGACCTAGAACAAGAAGAAACCAAGGTGTCACCGCACCACGGCGTCTCCCTGAAAAGCCAGCTCCGCCGGCCCCGTCATGTACACCTTCCCGTCCGACTCCCGCCATTCGATCTGCAGGTCTCCCCCGGGCAGGGTCACCGTGCACTTGCGGTCCGCCAAGCCCGCGAGGACTGAGGCGACCACGAGCGCGCAGGCGCCGGTACCACAGGCCTGGGTGATGCCGCATCCCCGCTCCCAGACCACCATCTTCACGTGCCCCCTGTTCAAGACCTGCGTGGTAGCAGGGATATACCGATATACCGCGGAAAAGAGAGTGTGACTCTCGTATACTGATCGGTTTTACCCGAGGAGATGGGGGTGGTGATGGTGCTTGGGGTACTCGTGTTTTGCATGCCTAAGTTGTTGGACAATTGGCCACGCGTCCTTGAGAGGACGGATCATTGTTCCAGCAGGACCGAACACCGACAGCCAATCGTTCCTTCCTCCTCTGCCAAAGGAAGGGGGTGCGGGGGGGCGAACTACCTGAGTGCCGTACGAGGGGTTGAAAGGGGGTTCGGGCGCAAGGCCCGGCAAGTTGTACCGATGTCCACAACTGCCATGAAATTCGATAACATGAAACGTTCACCGCAAACGGATTGCAACTTGATCGCGCGCACCAGACAGGTTTGAAGCTGACGAGGTCTCGACATCCCGCAAGCAGTGTTGAGAAACACAGGTGCAAGCTTGGTCGCACCCAGATGAAACTCAAACTGCAGCATCATTGCAGCTACTTTGGTACGAAGCTGTGGCCGAGGGCTCAACAAGGTGCAGACGAGGGCGGGGTGACGAGATGCAGTGAACTGCTTCGTACTTATAAACACGCCCGAAAACCTTTCCTCCATGGACAGCAGCCGCAGCAACCGGCTGCACCGAGTTCGAACACGAAATATTGCAACAGTCAGACCCTACCGAAAGAATGTCACCTCAATGGAAAAGTTCTCATGCACCACCACAGCAGTGGCAAGTATCCGTAATCCATTACTGTACTGGTCCACTACAACACAAGCCGTGTGGACTCGCGCACCGCTGCAGCACCCCCCCCGCCACACCTGCACGAACTCGGTGTTGATCTTGGCCGGGAAAGAAGGATGGGTCTCGAACTGGGGCCCAATGGTCGGCAGGTCCAACGCGTCCACGTCCGGAACGAAGACAACGGCGTGCGGGTTGCCCATGCTCACGCATGTGACCTCCCAATCCTTGCCATCCACCTTTCAGGGGTTTCAGTGCAGCCAACCAGGACCGATTGCCCGCGGGGGGGGGGCTGCTCATGTTTCGCATGCTTTAAATTATAAGGCCATTGACTGCGGGTCCTCGAGATGACGGAGCAGTGTTCCCACAGGACCGATGACGGACGGCCAATGGTTCTTCCTCCTTTGCCAAAGGTGGGAGGGATGGGGGAGGCTGCGGAGAGCCAGTGATACCCAGCAGCATCGGCCAGAGACTATACTATACAATACCAGCTATTATCTTGCGAGGATAAATCTAACCCTTGTGCCGGGTGTTGGAGCGACTTCCTCCGTAAGGTCGAAAACAACGTCACGATTTCGGCGCCAAAAAAACGAGATGCGGGCTGTGTGGTGTGTGGGCAGTGCAGCAAATCGCCAGAGCTTTCTTAGATTGAAACGCCGAGAGTTGATACCGAGGCGAAGAGCTCACAAAAGGTATTGATACACACCGCCGGTAGCCTGGCTGTATTGAAACCGCAACTGCCGCTACCGTCTTGTATCGAGGAACATTCGTGCGGTTGGCAAGGGCTACGCTTCTTGTTTGGTTGCGTCAGTCTCTCGGCCCCATTGAACCGAGAGCAAACCGCCCACCTTGATCGGCTCCTTCAGCACAACCCCATCGTCATTAGTGGGCAGAGTGCTGGGCACCTTGGGCCCGTTAAGCTCCGGCGGTCCCATGTCCACCGTCACTAGCCCGTCCTCTCGCGCCTTCGCCCGAATTGTTTTGTGGCCGACGGGGGTAAGCCCGAGAGGAGCGGGGGAGTTAACTTGTTGCATGGAAGGGTGGGTGGGCAAATGGAACCTAAGGAAAACATGTCCTGCTTGTCGCTCCACAAAACGCAACCAAACCAACTGAGGCAAGCCGTAGCGTCAGCCAGGGCGAAGAGAGGTTAACCATGAAAATCGCGTGGGCTCTGCCGAGGCAGCATTCTTCGGGGGCAAGAAGTATTTCAGGGATGTTACACCAGCACACACGCCGCATCCATCCGCTCTCGCACGACAGCAAGAGGAAGCAGAGCCTTACTCTCGTGGAAGTTCTAAGGACCACGGCACACAAACGGCCTGCGTACACCCATATACTGTTAGGGTTCGGCCTGACCCCCCAAAAACGTGTATGCGCGTGGAACGATTTTTCGTTTTTTGTGTATGTGTTTTTTCTGAATAATGTTGATCCGCATTACCGGCTGACGACGCCAGAACGTGAATTAACTTGATATTAGAGAGTGGGCGCTTATCACGGAATACTCGCTTCCACAAAGGAATGACGTCTTCCTATTTGGTGGAGACCTGTCAACAGACCATACGAAGGTTTTGGTGGGTCAGTTTTTCGAACGGACCCTGAAAACCCATCAAACACTCTAAAAACAAGTGATTTTCGGTATATTCAACGGGCGGCCTCGTGCGTGTGTGACGATTGCCAAAATCGGCACCCGACAAAACATAGCTCTCCTCTCTGCGAAGGCCACGCAAAAAACCGCACTACAATCCACCACTCCGCCGCCGCACAACACGTGTTACAAGATCGGGTATCGGGATGGGTAAAGCACGATCAAATTACAACTGAAAAAAAATACACACACGCACCCTACCGGTTGAATTTTTTGGGGGGTGCATCGATTTTAGGTTGAGCAGCAACGCTCTTTGTGCGACGCGCACATCCCCCACCGCGGCGGCTAGAGCAGCTTTTGCAATGGTTCCAGCGCCAAAAGTAGCTGTGGCAACCTCACTCGCGACGCAATGCCACTTGAATCCCACAATAGTTGGGGAAGGCGGGGGTTGGGTGCGATTTCTTTTTGGTCTCAACTGAAAAAAAATATACANTGCAATGGTTCCAGCGCCAAAAGTAGCTGTGGCAACCTCACTCGCGACGCAATGCCACTTGAATCCCACAATAGTTGGGGAAGGCGGGGGTTGGGTGCGATTTCTTTTTGGTCTCCAATGAAAAAAAATATACACACACGCACCCTACCGGTTGAATTTTTTGTGAGGGGGCGTCGATTTTAGGTTGAGCAGCAACGCTCTTTGTGCGACGCGCACATCCCCTACCGCGGCGGCGGAAGGAGCTTTTGCAATGGCTCCAGCGCCAAAAGTAGCTGTGACAACCTCACTCGCGACGCAATGCCACTTGAACCCCATAAAAGTAGGGGAAGGGTGGGATTGCATGCAATTCCCGTTCAATGTCAAGTCGCGGTCTTGAAAAAAAAAAAATCACGACTCCGTCTCATCGGCTCAGGTGAAGCCGTGTGTTGGGCATGAGCCTCACCGGCATGAGCCTCACCGGCGTCGTCGGCCATTTTCGTGACCACGGTCCGCGGAGACGTAGTCCCCGGCTAGTTGGGCAGAGCAGCGCACCACGCACACTTTTGCGCGCTGCTGCTGCACCGAGCACACTCGCATGCCAGACACACACACACAAAAAAAAACCAAGAACAACACACACACAAGGCAGATGTTGGCGGCCTGTTTGCCTGAAATTTGACTCAGTTGTCAAAATTGGTGGGGGTTTATTGGTTTAAAATGTTGTAGGAAGGACGGAAGGTCTGTTCAAATGTTGACCCGTGAGACAGAAAAATCGCCCAAAAAGAGGTCAGGCCGAACCCTAACTGTAGCTCAGTCTGCCAGGCATGCAGAAACAGCTCCCAGACCCGCGCCGCTGCTGCGGCGTTGGCGACGGCTTCGAGCGATTTCGCATACGCTGACGGACCGACGATGAGCGACAACCTCGTCCGCACCCTTTTCGACCTCTCACCAAGGGGATGATTGTACCCGCCAGCGTGTGGATCTTGTACTCGGCCTTCTTCTTCCCCTCCAGGTCGGCCAGAAACCTGGCCATACAGCGAATCCCGTTCCCGCACATCTCCGGCTGCGCGATTGTGTACAGGCAACGAGAGAAAGGCATGAAGACGTCGGGGGGTTGTTTGTCGTGTGCTGTTGCAATGCTCCTCTTGTGTATTTCCATTAACTGCTTTCGCTCCGGCAGCAGGAGCGAACGCAGCAGCAGTAGCGCATTCGTGAAGGATCGGAACATCACATCCCAAGTCAGAACAGGGTGAACCCGTACTGTTCACGCGCTCCGACACGCAGCAGCCCCGCCCCCCGGTTTGTCCTGGGGGAATCCTTCGTGTACATGCCCCGTACCAGCTCGGAAACCCACGGTCTATAACAAAAAGCCATCTGCGGTACAAGAGGGCATACGTGCACGCATCTCCATTCAAAAGACAGATCTGTTCTCGAGTATTTTTTGTCAGAAACGTATTCAAATTCATGTGTTGCTTCCACTACTCTTGCCTCCGGGCCTGTTGACAGCTGTTGATTTCTTCATTTCGCGACGGACCGCCCGTGCACACAGTTACAAGCTGGTTCCCTTCCACAAAATAATACAGCGGTCGATGCGGTTCAGCATACCCCTGTAGAAGCTTCCACTACACCGCGTGGATCTCCTGCACCCCGACTGTTACGTAGCCGCCGTACCGGAACTTGTAGCGCCCCGCCCTGAAATCACTTCTGACACTAATATCGCACAGGCCGCTAAAGCGGGACCACCACCACTACTGCCGTACCTCGGACCCGTCTGAGTTGATGATCCGCATCGAGTAGTCCATGTCGTCGGACCCCGGAAGGGCAAAGATAACGCCGTCTCCGCCGATGCCGTAACGTCTGTCCGGTCCGGCGGGGGTGGTAAGGGAGATACATCGATCGGCGATCGGTTGGGCTGGGGTAGAGGTGGTATAAACCGCTGCTGTATTTTTTACTCGCTTGAGAATGGGGTCTCGAAGAGCGGCGGCGGTGTTGCTGCTGCCTAGCTGGGTGAGGGCGACACGGCTACTGGCAACAGCGGGCACGACGTAGACCTGAGAAGACCAGCTTGCGGAAGTTGGCGGTGCTCAACACAGGTTGATGTGGGCATGCTATGATGCGGCGGGCCTATAATTTATAATTTATGTCTTCGTTTCTACGGGAACAACGTCACTGATCGTCTTTGTTAGCATACGCAACTTGGGGTTGTGGCGGCTATTACGGTTGACGCACTGCGAAATTAAGCTGTAGGAGAAATGGTGCTCTACATCTGACTGAAACGTGTAGGTACACACCGCCGAGGTTGGTTCCTCGCACACGGTCTCGTCGATGTTCATATTCCCTCGGTCCACACATGCACGTTTTCACGCAAACTCCAAACACACACACACACACACACAGCTTTTTGCAGCATTCGTCCCACCTATCGCACAAGCTAGCAGACTCTTCAGCCGTGAGCATTGGCTCCGCTTCCTCTCTATTGTCCACGAGGATGAAATCGTTGCCCAGTCCCTGGTACTTGGAGAAGGGCACGAGCTTGGTGGCGCTCATCGCGACCGTAGATGCGCCGCATCTCGTAGCTGCTGATCTTGCCGCCGCTGGCCCCTGGCGTCCAAGGGCAGTGCCGGGGGCCACCACAAAAGCCGCCGCATGGTGGGCGCCGATTGCAAGCAACGCTATCGTCGTTGGCCACATGGTGCCTACGTCTAGGTAACGCTGTCGGTGGTGTGGTGACAGACAGCGAGCAACAGGCAGATGGCTAGCCAAGCGACCAGGGGGTGACACAGATGCTACACGGGGGTGGGTTTTCCAAACGTCCCCTGTTTCCCTGGCGGAGGCCCGATTCCCCCTCTTGGCAGCAAGAGGGCGGCCTCGGTGGCTCACACCTGCTCTCTCGTTTCACACAAGCGGAGGTGAGTGCTTCCCAGGAGGCATGACCTTGGTGGACGGCAGGCTCAGTTGTGATGACTTCCATTGCTTTGAGCGTTATAGAAAAGCTGGAGCTTTAGCTGCGTTGTTTTTCTGGATCAAAAGTGGACTCGAGTGGTGGATTCAGCTTTGTGTGGTTTGGGACGATGTGAGGGTGTGTGTTGACTTTTGAGGCCATAGCCTCGCTCCAGCAACTGCCATTTCGGGCCGGTGGCAGGAGAACCATTGCCGTGTGGCGCTCCTGAGCTGGATGTATCTTCGGAGCCGGGAGCTGTGTCGGTTTGCCTCTCTCCCAGAACAGCAGTCTGCCAGTCGTTGCTGATCGTGTTTTTGTAGGCATTCTGGAGAATCAGGGTGGCTTGGTGTTCAGTATAGAGGTGCCGCGGCGGTTCACGTCCGACACGAAACGTTGTGTTGGTTACACGTTGTGCTTCTGCCAGGCTCTTGTACGACTTACGATAGCGTGCCATGGAACGTAGCCCCCATGAGCGCGCAACTTGCTCGCTCTGTTTTGGTCTGGTCTCACGTTGTGTGCCCCACAGCATCTAAAGCAGTAAAGAACCGCAACGCGGAACGCGCCTCCGCCCTAGTTCGTGTTGCCCGACCGGCAGCTGAGACCGACTCACCCAACGCTCGTACTGTGGTGCTGCGTCTATCTTTTGTCGGCTCACCTGTGCTGGGGCCTCAAATGATGGTTTGCTTTGGCGGCGTGGCGCGAAACGTGGAAAACTTTGACGCTGGCCTCCTCTCAGCACCATGCGCACCTCACCTCGCTCCGGTCAGGTGAGAATCTCCTCCTTGCAGACCACGACTGCTGACTATGCAGTGGTAGCTACAGATTACCTTGCTTCGTTTTACCGTATTCCCGATTTGTTTTTCAGTGTGCACCTTCTTGTGCTATTTGATGTGATGCACACCGGCGATACTTAGCTGTTTGCCATCTCTGCGCGTGGTGCTGTGAAAAGACTGCTGTGGGCAACAACTCGACAGAGTTGTGTCGGTAGACTAAGCGTGGACAACGGTAATTTGAGACATGCAGCTGTTTGTTGTCGGATACCGCTATTGTACGAAGATAAGATCGAGGTAGATCCCCAGTATTCATGTGCCTTCCGGTTGTGCGAGTGGGTGACCTTTGCTGGTGTGGTCCTGCAGCAACGTTTTGCGCATCGTTCGTGATCCAGAGGCAGTCTGATGCAGTTGACGCCCCACGATAATGCCGCCGCGCCTGCCATAACCCATGTTTGACTGCCGCCACTGCCTTCGAGCCCGTTCATGTCGTTGTTGATGCCCAAATGAATTGGGCCTTTTTTGTGCCCTCAAAGATACCACTGGTGTTCATTGCACCCTCAAGCGATCTGCGCGGAAATATCGACCTGGCTCCTCCCCAAAAAATATCAACCAAGCTTACGCCCCTACCAGATTATTCGGGTTAGATTCCGTCGCGGGGGTTGAGGCAAGGGCTGGAAACCTGCGGTGTTTCCACCCGAATTACCCCCAGAGGGAACATACGAATCGGGGGCTTGCAGGCACTAGCTTCTGTTTATGCCATTATGCTTCCTCTGGTCCAAGTGCCACCGTCCTCAGTAAGCAGCCCCGGTTTCCCCCCGGGGCTCCGTGATATTTTTTTACCAGCGGTACCCAAAGCTTTGAGACTCCCAAAGGTCACGCGATCAACATGCTACGTAGAGGTCTCTCTACTGCCTTGCTCTTTTCCATGTAGTACAGACTTGCACCACAATATTCTACTGACAACGGCTCTAAGTTACGATCGACACTTCTTCGGCGTGGTGCTGACCAATGCTCTAGGAAAGAGGGGGCATGCACAACAACAGGTCGAGGTACTCCATTGTTTTGGATGGTGTTGCGGAAACCTTTGTTGGCGTTCCAGGTCGACCAATCCAAGCAACCTCAGGTCACGCTGGCGCATTCCTGTGATACTGAAACTTCACACGCTAGCAGACACAACAACAAAAAGGACGATTCGGAGATGCGGTTTGGCTGTGTGCGCCACGCCATTGTTGTCGACCAACGTCAGTAGTAGGCCCGACGACCGAAGAGATTGGACGGGGGGTAGCTTTCATTCGTAGGATACTTGGCATGGTACCAGAAAAGGCCGACTGCCTGAAGGTTGTGCAGTATATGGTATCGATGCCTTGAGGGGGGGCACGTATTCCACGCGAAACAGTTGGGCTATGGATGGGCATGAACTGGCTGGAAATCGGGGGGATCCGCTGTTACGCCAATAGACAACCGCTCCAGCATGCCCGCTTGCGGGTGCTTCGGCCTAGCAAACCACTCTATTTTTTTGTAGGCTACACACCTCTCCGAAGGCTTTCACGCAGTCGGGAGCGCTGCCTTGATTTCGCGGACAGTACACACCGAACATGGCGCAGCGCATTGTATCTTTTTTTCAGGTCGACTACTATTTTCAACCGACCGACTACATTTTGTGTTCATTCGAAATCTCATGTTGGTATATGGGAAATGAAGCAGCGCCGCGTGGTGTTAGGCCCTCCGCGCCGGCAAAAGCCTCGAGCGTTTCCCGGACCTGTCGATGCCGCGTACAACTCTCTCTGCGTGTAACAGCCTCACGACAGCACGAAGAACCCCTTCGATGTATACCGACTGTCTGGCTGGCTCGATCACGTGCTTGGAAGGACTCAGTAGGTTGCCATCACTTGCTGCTATGCATTCGTTCTTTTGCGGTCGAGGTCTCTGGTTTCCGCTGGGTTTTGTCTCTTTTTCCGCGAAGGTTGAACCGCCACGATTTCCCACTGCTGTAATTCGAACGTTTTGCATTTTGCCCGCCAAGCAGACATGCTGCTGAGCCCCCAACCCAACCACCTCTAAACTGTGTCCTCTCGTTGTTTCCTTGTGCAGCCCGTGCGGCTGTACGTGAAGGGCGTCATGCTTGGATTCAAGCGTGGCCTTAGGAACACGTACCACCACACCTCCCTCATCAAGATCCAGGCAAGCTACCTAGCCGGCTTTGATTCGATTTCGTGTGTGATTTGCTCGTGGTGCATACCTCCCCTTTTCGCCTGACCACGTGTACAATCTGGTCGTGATGGTGTGCATGTGCGATGCATGACCGTAAGGAGGGGGCGGGGTAGTTTGGTTCATGGCCGTATGGTTCTGGCGTGGTGACGGCTACCCGTCACTACTGCCGATTGATCGGGATTGGTGCGCATGGCGATAATCTTCTTCGAGATGAACAATGCCCCATGTTGTATCATGTTATATTGGTGCCTGATGATGAGGAATGATATCGAGTGGTTCTTGTGACTCATCGCGGACCAAAAGTTTTTGCCGATTGCAAGGCTTCTCAATCAACCAACGATCACCTGATTGGAACGCGCCTGACGGTGATCATGCTCGCCATTGTTTTTTTCATTTGTCAGGGTGTGGAGGACAAGGAGGCGTCCAACTTTTACCTCGGGAAGCGCATCGCTTACATCTACAAGGTCAGAGCAAAAGAGAGAACCGAATGGACAGTAGGGTTCAACGGTACAAGAGCCAACCCACAAGAGTGTCGTGGTGGTCACCCTGACCGCGTGGCTCCACGGTGGACGGTAGAGTTGGGTTATAGCTTGAGGTGATTCCACGCGTTGCGATTTCCCCAATATTTTCTCGCACTTTGGACTCATCTGGATCGAAGGGGTTGTCGCTGTCGAATCCGCCAGAGCTGGTAGCAGCCACGCACGTACACGTGTACATCACAGCGCGCTTCTTCCTCTGATATTTTTTCCGTCATGGTTGATGTTTGATGCGCGTTGGCGTGTCAAGGTCTGCTGTATGAGTGTCAGAAAAGGATGTCGAAGGGACAGCCGCGAATGGTTCGAATGCATGACCTCAATGTCCCGATGTGTGGATGTTTCGCTGCAAGCGCCGGATGCTAGTCGCGACACTATTGAAGCAATGTTTCCTCGCGACTTGCTCGCTCTATACCGTGCCTTTTGGTGCTATCACGAGGGACAGGAAGACGGCTCGCGATGCTACATGAGGTGGTGCGGTTGGAGCATTGTTGGACAATTGCTTAGGGGAGGGTATTGATGATCTTACCCTGATTGTCGTACACCGCTTCTGCTGATGCTGATGCTGTGGTTGGTGGTTTGCAGGCGAAGACGCTCAAGAACGGGACCAAGTACCGCGTGGTGTGGGGCAAGGTGTGCCGCGGGCACGGCACCAACGGGGTTGTACGGGCCAAGTTCAGGACTAACCTCCCGGTAAGCATGTAGCAAGCATTCTTCCTGAAGTTGCGTTGTCGGTGGCCCCGGTCTATGCGTCGGGGGTTTTGTTTTTGTTTGCCTCGTGTGGAATCCCCCCCCCCCCCCCCC